CTGCCCCCAGCCATGTCCCCTAATCAGGATCTAGTCAGCGCTTGGAGATGGGCTTTGACTCCAGAAAGCTTAGAGCCCCTGGCTGGTGCACTGGTTGTATATTTACATCTTTATTTTCCCCTTGGCCTTTATCTCCTGTCCTACCTATGCTTTCCTGATTTTCACTCTCATCTGTGTCCACATCTTCATGTAATTCATTTGTGTTAGCCTCTTCACTGTATTTGTGAAATAAAGGCAAATAAAACAAGTAAACACACACCGTAGACATTCTTTAGAGATGCTCACAGATAATGGCTTCCTCGAGACTTCCACCTCCTCCTATGACAAACCTGGCAGGTGAACCACTGTCATTCTTCTTCAATATTTGAACACAAAAGAGCTGTTTGGTTTTTGGAGAGGCCACTAGGCAACCTATCTTAATTGGCCACTAGGTAACTTGTTTGCACAAAGGCCCCAGGACCCTCTGGATTGGAGACCGGGAAAGGAGACTTTGGCTCTGATGACCCTCCACACTGAATTGTCAGGTGCCTGGTGTCGGGTGCTCTGATGTTTGTGGTTTTGATGGGGAAACAAATTAAGAAATGCCATTTTAAATGTCTAATAGGTTGACAACTATTTTTATCATGTATATCTAATATATATATTTTTTTGAGTTGGAGTCTCACTCTGTTGCCCAGGCTGAAGTGCAGTGGCACACTCATGGCCACCTCAACCTTGACCTGCTAGGCTCAGGTGATCCTTCTGCCTCAACCTTCCAAGTAGCTGGAACAACAGGCATGTGCCACCATGCCCAGCTAATTTTTTGGTTTATTGTAGAGATGAGGTCTTGTCAAGTTGCCCAGGCTGGTCTTGAACCTGTGAGCTCAGACAATCCTCTTATCTTGGCCTCTCAAAGTGCTGGGATTATAGGCATGAGCCACTGCACCCAGTTAACATTTTAAAAAAATCCATCTGGCAGCTCTACCCCCAATTGAAACAGCCACCCTCTAGAAAAATGCTGTACTTTTTTTTTTTTTAACCCAGGAGTTGTTTTGCATCATGGTGTTCAGTGGCATGTCTTTGTGGGTTTGGGGGGAGCTTTGTTGGTGTTGATATTTGTTTTTATTCCACTGTGATCTGAGAAGATGCATGGCAGAATTTCAATCTTATGGAATTTGTTTATGCTTGATTTATGGTCTAGGATGTGGTTGATCGATCTTAGAGCATGTTCCTTGTAATGATGAGTAGAATGTATATTCCATGGTTTGGAGAGTTCTGTAGGTATCAATTAAGTCCATTTGGTCAAGGACCACATTGAGGTTCCAGATCTCCTTGTTGACTTTTTATCTTGATGTTCTGTCTAGGGTTGTGAGTGGGGTATTTAAGAATTCAGCTATGATAATGTTAGAGTTGATACCTTTTTTTAGTTGTCCTAGAAGCTGCTTTATGAAAGTTGGTGCTCCTATGTGGGGTGCATATATGCTTAGGATGGATATTTCTTGTTGATGGATTGAACATTTTATCATTATGTAGGGACTTTCTGTATCTTTTTAAATTTTTAGTAACTTAAAGGGTATTTTGTTTGATATTAAGATCTCTATTTCTGCTTTCCTTTGTGCTCCATTCCCCTGAAATTTTGTTTTCCGTCCTCTTACTTTTAGTCTGTGAGTGTCCTTTTTGGTGAGTTGAGTCTCTTGGAGACAATATATTGTTGCCTTATGATATTTTATCCATTTTGTCATTCTATTTTCTTTTTGGTGGTGCATTTAGTCCATTCACATTCAGGTTAATTATTGAGGTGTGGGAGTTTATCCCTGTCATGAGGTTCTTATAGAGTTTGTTGTTGTTGCTGCTGTTTGTTTATTTGTTTGTTGTCTTGCTTTTGATTTTTGGGTTGATTCTTGTGTGTTTTCAATCTTTTTGCCACATGCTTGCAAAGGGCGTTGTCATTCTTCTTTTCTTTTCTTCTGTGTTAAATATGTTAAGTGTTTCTTGTAGAGTTAGTCTGGAGACAGCATAAACTTAGGGATGGAATGTCTGGGAAGAATTTTAACTCTCTATCACTGATGAAACTTAGTTTAGCTGGGTAGGTAATTCTTGGTTGAAATTGTTTATCTTTGAGAACTTTGAAGATTGGGCTCTAAGCTTTTCTAGCCTGAAGTGTTTCTGTAGATGTCTGCTGCTATTCCCATTGGTCTTCCCTGGTAGGTAGTCTGCCCTTCCTCTCTTGCTGCCTTTAGGAATTTTTCTTATTTACCTACTTTGTGTAGGCGAATGACTAGGTGTCTAGGTGTTGGTCTTCTCATTTGTTGTCTTGCAGGGATTCTCTGAATCTCTTGTGTTTGAATGGTCACATCACTGATGAGATAAGGGAAGTTTTCTTGGATAATTTCATGGAATGTTTGATCCAGGGTGGTCTCTGTCTCTCTTTCTGCCTCAGAGATTCCAATTAATCTTAGGTTCAGCCACTTGAAATAATTATTCATCTCTTGGAGAGTTTGTTCTGTCTTTTTAAGCTTCTTTTCTATGTTTTTAACAGTTTGGGTTAGTCCCATATTTTGGTCCTTAAGCTCTGAGATTCTTTCTTCTGCTTGGTTAATTCTTTTCCATGTTTATCAGTTTGTTTTTTATTTCATTCACTGAATTCTTTATTGCTGTTATCTCAGTTATCAATTCCTTCATTCTTTCTTCTTTATATCTCCTCATTTCTATTTATTCTCTCTATTAATATCTTCATATCTGGGTTTGTGGTTTGAGATCAGTCACTCTGGGGGCTCTTCATTGTTTGAGTTCTGGAGTCTGTATTCTCAGTGACTGACCTCCCAGAGGTCTGTGTGAGACTCATATTCTTCCTTTGGTTTTTCTACATTGTGTAGGTTTTCCTCCCCCCACCCCACCCCCTTTTTTTAACCTCTTCTTTAATTCAGTTGTTCAGTGATGAGGGGATAGCTTTTATTTCTGTTTGCTCAATCTCCTATTACTCCTTATGTAGATCCTCTGGTTTTGTTCAATTCTGAAGCTGGACTAGGGGTAGGAGCCTGAGCTTTTTGCAGTTTTGAGATTCAATTGAGGGGGGAAGCTGTGATTCAGAAGTTATCTGTAGATCCCAGTATCTGCTGATGTATGTGTGGGCCACTTGGAACTCACTTCCCGCTGTCTTACAATCTGTTCATGCAGTGGGAGTGTCTGTTTGCCCCGCTATTTGCTGTTGCTGCTACCATCAAGTATCCCCAGATTCTGTACTTTTAAGAAGGTGATCAAAGTTCAGGAAAGGGTAATTTCAATTACTTCCAGATGGAGAAGAAAGATGACAAAAAATAATGAATATACTTATTAGAACCATTTATTAAGAACTAAAAAGCCATAATAGCCCCTCCCAAACCAAAAAACAAACAAAAAACCCCAAAAGCAAAAACTAAAAACAGTCATGGTGTTGTGCCTGTGGCAAAAACTAAAAACAGGCATGGTGGTGTAGCTACTTGGGAGGCTGAGATGGGAGGATTACATGAGCTCAGGAGGTCAAGCCTGTGGTGAGCCATGATCATGCTACTGCACTCCAGCCTGGGCAACAGAATGCGACCCTGACTCAAAAAAAAAATTTAAGTTTAAAAATTGTCAGCAACAGCTCTGATTGCTGACAATTGCCATGACAAGCCCTTCCCCGACTGACATGTGGACCCCTTCAGCCAGGCAGTCAGGTGCTGTCAGTGTTCTCCTTCCTCAGATGATGAACTGACCTGGTGAGAGCTGGGGTAACTTGCTCAGGAACACAGAGTCAGTGAGTGAGGAGCCAGGCAGGATATGAACCCAGGACCAGTTGCCTGAGGCATGGGGCCAGAGCATGGTGGGGTCTCCCTCCTGGTATGGTAATCATGAGGGGACCTTGGTCAAGCTGATGGCAGGTGGGGAGCTCTTTGCTTCCTCTACCAAGCATCCCCAGGCTGAGAGGTGGGGTGGGAGGATGGTGGCACAGGTTTTGCCCACCAGGGGGCAGGCAGGGGTGCCATAGTGCTGCAGCAGTGTGTGACTAGATCTTGTGATAGTGAGTTTTCAGGTTTGATTTTAAGCATTCTGGTGTCCCCAGTTCGTCCTACGGTAGCTCTGGAAGGGGCGAAATGGCCAGTTCTGACACCTACCATCCCTTCCTCCCATTCCCCATCCCTCTTTTTACCCCCTGCTTCCCCTCCCCCCTCACCCACTTTGGCTCAGAGCTGGCCATCGATGGTCTTCTCCATCCTCACAGCCACTTACTCCAGTGGCATTGTCACTCCTGAGCCCTGAATGGGGCCATGTTTGCCCTCAGTGTCTTTACTTTGATTCTTGGAGGGGGCATTAGTTGGGCTATTGGCTTCTTCCCTTCCAGAGGCCATGGGAACTTTATGGTTTTGGTTCACCTTCTCTCCACCCCTGGCCCTCCCCTTGGGCCCTCTGTCTCATCCCCTTGGACATTCCAGAGCCTGCTGTGGGGCAGCTGTCAAGTGCCGGCTCTTCTGGGAGGTGGCCCACAGTGGCTCGGCTCCCAGCCTGGGGTGTCGCCCCCTCACCCCATGGCCTCTGGCTGTAGCTTGGCATTATTTTTTGCTGTTAAAGTTTATTTTATTTTATTTTTGAGTCAGAGGCTCACTCTGTCACCCAGGCTAGAGTGCAGTGGCATGCTCATGGCCACCACAGCCTCGATCTTCTGGGCTCGGGTGATCCTTCCACCTCAACCTTCCAAGTAGCTGGAACTATAGGTGCACGCCACCACGCCTGGCTAATTTTTTGATTTATTGTGGAGATGAGGTCTTGCCATGTGGCTCAGGCTGGTCTCAAACCCCTGAGTTCAGGCAATCCCGTTGTCTCTGCCTACCGAAGTGCTGGGATTACAGGCAAAAGCCACCGCACCTGGCTAATACATAACTTTTTGGGGGCTTTTATTGTTGTTTTAAATTACCTTTCCACTAGATTTTAATTTCCCCACAAACAAGGATTTCTGTCTGTTTTGTCCATTGCTGTGTCCTGAGGGTGTAAGGCAGTGGGTGTCATCCAGTCGGCTCCCAATGCATGCACGCCAGCAGAGTGCCGACTGAGCGGCTGTAGGAGTTGTGCTTGGGCGGCTTCTGGCTTTTCTTGGGGCTCAGGAGCCCATCTGGGAGCTTGGTCCGGCGTCTCCCCAGTCTCAGGACTCCATGTTCTCGGGGCAGCTGCCTCTCAGAGCAGCCTCTGTCTCCTGACCCAGGGATGGGGACCCAAGAAGGACCCGCATGCTGGGATCAGGGCTCTCCTTCTCCATGCTGGTGGGAACAGGGAGGGAACTTCAGATGAAAAGCGCTGGGCACCCCCTATACCTTTGGTCAGTAGTTCCACCTGCTTCTCAGGCATATTCTTACAAAGGGCAGAAAAAGAGAGTGAGGTTGGCTCTGTTTTTTTCCTCTCTAATTTACCATGTGGCAGGTAGCACAAAGTCTTCTGGAAATGAAGGAACAGTGGGTTTTTATCCCAACAGTGGGTCAGGCTGGTGCAGAACAACAGTGCAGGTTTCACTTATGGTGCCTTGTTTGCATGTTGGCAACTGACTGAATTTTTATCTGCTATGGGTTAAAGAAATATTTATTTATTTTTAGAGACAGGGTGAAAATAAAAAATAAAAAGAAGTGACAAACTGAGGCCGGGTGTGGTGGCTCAAGCCTGTAATCCCAGCACTTTGAGAGGCCGAGGTGAGAGGATTGCCTGAGCCCAGGGGTTTGAGACCAGCCTGGGCAATTTGGCTCGATCTTGTCTCTACAATAAATCAAAAAAATTAGCCAGTTATGATGACGTGCACCTGTAGTTCCAGCTACTTGGAAAGCTGAGGTGAAAGGATTGCCTGAGTCCAGCAGGTCAAGGCTGCAATGGCTGTGAGTGTGCCATTGCACTCTTGCCTGGGTGACAGAATGAGACTTCAACTCAAAAAAAAAGAAGAAAGAAAAAAAGGCCAGGCACAGTGGCTCAAACCTGTAATCTCAGCACTTTGGGAGGCTGAGGCAAGAGGATTGTCTGAGCCCAGGAGTTTGAGACCAGCCTGGACAACTTGGTGAGACCTCATCTCTACAGTAAATGTAAAATTAGCTGGGCATTGTAGCACACACTTATAGTTCTGGCTGCTTGGAAGGTTGAGGTGGAAGGATCACCTGAGCCCAGCAGGTCGACTCTGAGGTAACTGTGAGCATGCCACTGCACTCCAGCCTGGGTGACAGAGTGAGACTCCGACTCAAAAAAAAAAGAAGAAAGAAAAAAAAAAGAAGTGACAAACTGGATCTAGAAAACATTAGTTTATTCATGGAATATAATAAGTTTATTAGCAATTTTGAATCAGTTATTTACAAAGCAATCCATCATTAACTTTTTATGGTACCCCTAAGAGACAGAGATACTAGCACCCAGCAAACAAGCAGATGGATAGGAACATAGATATCTAGAGAGATGTCATGTTGTTCCTGTCTCAGATAGCTTACAGTCTACCAGGAAGGCTGTGCTAATACACATAAAACAGCTAGGAAACAATCAATCAATGTGTGGAATGAATTATAAATCAAGTAGGAGTATAATGGGAAATGGAAGAAGACAGAAATTACAGAAAAATAAGTACCACATGATTTCACTTACATGAAAAATATTAAAAAGCCAAACTTTCAGAAGCTGGGAGCAGAATGGTGATTACCAGGGACTGGGTAGGGGTGAGGGGATTGGAGAGCTATTGGTTGAAGGGTACAAAGTTTCCATTAGACAGGAGGGATAATTTTGGAAGTCAATTGCACAGCATGCTGACCATAGTTAATAATAATATATTCTATATGTCAAAATTGCTAAAAGAGTAGATTTTAAATGTTCTCACTTACAAAAAACATGGTAAGTAGGTTAGGTGATGGGTGTGTTAATTGACTTGATATAATCATTCCACAATGTAGACATGTATAAAAAAATCACATTCCCCGTAGATGTATACAATGATTCTTTGTCAGTTAAAAATAAAAAGTAAGATGGGTGTGGTGGCTCACACCTATAATCCCAGCATTTTGGGAGGCTGAGGTGAGATGACTGCCTGAGCCCACGGGCTCAAGACCAGTCTGGGCAACTCGGTGAGACCTCATCTCTACAATAAAGGAAAAACTTAGCCAGATATGGTGGCGTGTGTCTGTGATTCCAGCTACTTGGAAGGCTGAGGCAGAAGGATTACCTGAGCCCTACAGGACTCCGACTCAAAAATAAAAAATAAAAAATAAAATGGCAGGTGTTATAAGAATGATGTTGATCAATTATTTCTTTAACCAAACATTTATTGAATGCCTCTGAGGTGCCCGAAACTCCTTGGTCCTGGAGATACAAAGATGAGTGAGACACGATCTGGAGCTCAAGGGTCATCAGCCTACAGAGACATTATAAATCTTCCCCAGAGCTGTGAGCCATGCATCTCACAGTAGGTGCTCAAGAAATATTTGTTGAACAAACAAAAATATAAGTGTAACAATAATATAATAATGGAGTTTGAAATAATTCTTTTCTAAAAGGAACTAAAGATATTTTATGGGTGGAAATTGATGCCCTAGGTTTTTCAGATCCCTGATTAGTACAGAGCGTGAAATAACTTATTTGCCCCCAAACTGACACAGAATCAGTGTCAAAGAACAAAAAGCCTCAATTAAAAGCTTCCAGATCTGGTCTGTGATTTTCAAACTTTTCAAAAAGTCATTTTCAAGGTCTTTTTTGACATCCAATTGGAGCTTATGAAAGTTTCTTTTGATAGTTTTAATTACTTACATTTTTACCCCCTTCTGTCTTTGCAGTGGTTCACCAAAACAGAGAGGATACTAAAGACTGAGATAACTGTGGAGTGTAGAGGCAAGGTAACTACAGTAAGAAAATAAAAGCCATTTTAAAAAGCTTAGCACACCTGCTATGTAGTCATGTAGAGTTGTTTAAGATAAGTCATTAACTTGTTGCTGAACTTACTGGCAGTCAAAGCAAAAAGAGAAAAATGCTTAGCTATAAGGGTCATACTTATAGGTTCATAGATATTCAGAAGAAGCATAATTTTCCTGATCCTGAGAGAATATGGTGTGCTGTGGTGGACGATGTCTTCAACTATGTCTTATCAACAAATATAGCAGGAAGGTTACTATGGCAATTTCTTAGAATAGTTCTCAGGGCAAGCCAAATACATCCCAACAAAGGGCAGCTCTGAAGTGGCCAGATTTCACTCCAGAGTAGAATCTGGAGTATCTGGCGGCTTAGATAAATAGAGCTTTTTTTCTTCTGGCAGTGATTTTATGATTGTTGTTTTTTGTTCTGTTGCCCGGGCTGTAGTGCAATGGCCTGCTTGTGACCACCGCAGCCTCAACCTGCTGGGCTCAGGTGAGCCTACCGCCTCATCCTTTCAAGTAGCTGGAACTACAGGCGTACGCTACCACGTAAAAATTAGCCCGGCTAGTTTTTTCATTTATTGTGGAGACAAGGTCTCACCAAGTTGCCCAGGCTGGTCTCGAACCCAAGGACTCAGGCAATCCTCTCACCTCAGCCTCCCAAAGTGCTGGGATTATAGGCATGAACCACTGCACCTGGCCAGATTTATAATTGCTAATTCTCACTCACATATTTGAGAGGACGGGATTCCAGAGAGCGCAAGGTTGTATTTGCAGTTGGGAGTCTGGAGGGGAGACATTCTGTGTCGCCACAAAGATGACCCTTGCTGTCCTGTCTGCCAGGCAAAGGTTAGGTTAAGATTCTCTTTTCAACTAGGAGGAACCAGCCCAAGGCATGGGCTGGAGCAGATCACACTCCTCTCTAGGACAGTATGAGGCTAAACAGTTCCCCAGAAAGGTTGTGGCAGTTTCTTCTCCCAGCAGCAGTTTTTGTGAATGCTCTTCTCACCACTCTCTGTCTAGCTAGAAAAGTCACAATTTTTATTTTAGGCTTTGCCATTTGTACAGGTTAAAACTGCATTCTGTTATTCTAATTTACATTTTTCATTACAAGTGAGTTTGAACATTTTTTACGTTTATGGACCATTTATGTTTGCTTGTATTATGTACTTGTGTGGTACATATGTCTATCATTTATCTCCTGGTGTCCCAGTGTTTTTCTTCTCGGTTTAATTGAACAGCCTATATATTAAGGGATATTAACTCATCATCATATTTGTTAAAAATACATTTTCTAATTTGTGTCTTATAATGCACATTTTTATCCTTTGCTAGAATTGTTCAAGCACCACCGAATCACAGAATATTCAGGAAAATTCCTGGTTAAGTGGTACTAAGTTTGACAAAAATTTATTATGTGACAATCAGGTTGGACCACAAGATTATCTTAGTAAGAAAATAGATAGATAGGCAAAAATCTATAAATAGTTTTGGCAAGTGCTTTAGACTCAGTGGGCTTAAAATAGTGAAGTCCATCAGTGGTGCCTTGGGACTGTGGCAAAATGTTTTCTTTGTCATAAAAAAAGCAAGGACTTCTTTCCAAAAAGAATTGGCAGCATTCAAAATCAGCTACTCAGTAATGAACTGAAGAATGATGGATGGTAGGTTGGAGAGATTGTATAATATCATTTGCCAAAATACTCTAGGAAAAAAATACATTGTTTTGTTTCTTACACATTTTGCAAATAAAGTTTTTTAGTGCAGTATATTTATGCATGGATGTATAAGTACTCTATATTAAGAAAAACAAACAGAAAGAAAAGAAAAAAGAGAAAAGAGCAAAAATTTCCATGTCCAAGCCAAGCTACAATGATTCTTTTTGAAGTTCCCTCTCAGATTTATAGGATGACATTCTTAAAGGACTTATGGGACATCTCATCTATTTTCTAATCCACCCCGGGATGAGGTCTTTATGTGTGAATGATGAAGATATCTCTGTAAGATAGTCCTATGGTCTTCTGCAAGTGTTAACATGTACTCTTGTGTCTCCAACAACAATTCCTCTTCTTTTCTAAAGAAAAAAAAATCTTCCTCTAACTAATATGGAGCACAAGATTTCAAAAGGAGACAGTGAAAGAAGTGGGGAGTGGTGTTGAAGGTGGCATTATAGATCGTTTACAATATTACCTCTCGAAGAGTGTTCTGGGTATTTTAATTGCAAGTATGGATTTGAGGGTTGGACTTCTTGGGTCCGCTCTGACACATCTATTCCCCGTGAGCTTACTAAACCTCTGTAAGCCTCAGTTCCTTCAGCTGTCATGGTAGAACAACATAAGCTAATAAGGTTATCAAGAAGATTTTATGAGACAATGTATGTAACACATGCAGCTCAATGCCTGGAACATAGCAAGTGTTCAAATACGTTAACTCTCAAAAAGTCAGCAATGGCTAAGTAGATCACATGGACATCATACAGTATTATTTTTACTAATTCCCAGGAGGAATAAAGGAATTTATTTTTAATCTTAGGTGAGCCATCAGGTAGGAAAACAGAGAAGTGGCTTTAGAACAATGTTGTCTTTTCCCACACTGAGATAACTTAGAATAGGCTTCTTGAAAGGATGTCCTAGCTGAAGGGCATGGAAAGTGGAGAGGGTTGTGCTGTGTTCCTACCTGGGACTGGCACTGGTTTTTCTTCAAAGACCTTTTGCAGTGCTTCTTTTAGGGACCGTCTACTTTTATTTTTCCTGAGACTACCTACCACAAAATAGACAATGGGGTTAACACTGCAATTGATAGTGGACAGCAAGTTCATATAAGGCAAGAATCTCCACACCGAGCTGTTGGTGGCATCATAAAAGGTTATGAAACACAGAACCTTCATAGGCATGGCAAAGACCAGAAACAAGATCACAGTGGCCATGATGATTATGTAGAGCTTGGCTGGTTGACGTGACTTCAGGTTGCAGCAGACTTGGATGAGGAGAATCAAACTGGAGAAGACCATGGAAGGAACGAAGACAAAGAAGGTCAAAGTACATGAAAATATGTACACGTTTCGACATTCTGTGATTCTAGGCTCATCTGCCAGCAAGCAGAATGAGTTTTCTAACCCAGTCACAAGAACAGAAAGTGCCCACAGCAGGGTGCAGGCTACAACAGATTGGTGCTTTGGGCGTTGGCACTGGTACCAGATTGGGTAAAGCACGGAGAGGCACCTCTCCACACTGATGGCAGTGAGGAGGTGTAAACCTGTGTTGTAGCCAAAAATCATTAGGAAGTAGATGTAGTTAATTAAATCTTCACTGTAGAGGTGGTGGTTACATAGTATGCTGTTCAGGTGGAAGACTAATGTACAGAGGAGGACCATGAAGTCAGCAATGGCGAGGTTTAGAATGTAGACCGTGAATGGCTTCCTCTTAATGTAGAAGATGAGAAACAACATCATAATTCCATTCCCGGTCACGCCCACTATGCAAACGAGCAGAGAAAAGTAGAGATAACTAGAGTATTCTTTTAATTCTGGTGGGGGGTGCTGGGTTGCTTGCTCTGATGACCAGGTTGTTTGGATCAGGGATTCATTTCTGGTATAGAGTGTGGATTCCAGAGGGCTCAAGGTCACTGTCAAAAGCTCCATACTTGGGAAATCGTGGTTTTCTCCTGTATACCTGTTGTCAGAAATGGAGGATGGAGTTTATAGATATCATTTGCCATGTCACAGTGAGTTCAGTTGTGTTAAGGACCCTCTTCCACACAGTGGTGTGGGAGGGAGGATGTGAGACCAGGAAGGATCCTGCTGCATTCTGTCTTCTTTCTTTTCTATTTCTCTCCCCTCCTATTAGTTTCCTAACCAGGCAGATTCCATGGGAATCTCCATGTTTCCGCCACCAAACCCAAGAGTTGGGTCCTCATTCCAGCCCTAGTCATGGCTCCAAACCAAGACCCCCTTCCTCCCTGGTCCTGTGGAAAAGCCCACTGTGTTCCTAGTTTGTCCCTGCCCTTCCTGAAAAGGATTTATTGGATTCTCACCAGAACTAGGTGGATCAAAAAGACACTTGAAATACACCGATGAGCAAAGGCCAACGTGCAAAAGAAGTAAAGAAAGTAATTACCATGCATTTTGAAGCTAATTAATCAATTCTGTCTCATCTCTCTCACTGTTCTTCCTTTCCCATGCCCTGGTTTTGACTTTATAACATCCATGTGATCCTCCTGGCAGTTCATCTATCCTGTCCATTGAGAGTCATCCTCTTAGACTTGGCCGATGAGACAATCCAGGCATAAGTGGGAGAGATGGAGAGGAACGGGAGACAGGAAGAGAAAGAGGGTCTCTTGGAGTTGGGGGTTCCAGAAAGGAAAAGCTACTTAGAGGTGGCAGATGTGCAGGACTGTAGTGTCCAGGCCTAGAACAGCCTGCAGTCCCCAAGTGACCCTAGGTGTGTAACTTCTTGATAGTCACCTTACCCAGTGTTTCGTGCTGTCTGACCTGAACCCAACCAGCTGAGGTGTGGGAGGCAACTAAGTTCAGGGAAGGACTTACAGAGCAAGACCTTCTCAGGTTGTTTCTTTGTGAATTTTTTTCTAGACAGGGTCTCACTCTGTCACCCAGACTGGAGTGCAGTGGCATGATGATGGCTCACTGTATCCTTGACCTCCTGGGTTCAGATTATCCTTCCTCCTCAGTCTCCAGAGTAGCTGGGACTACAGGTATATGCCACCATGCTTGGCTAAGTCTTACATTTTTCCAATATTAGACAAGATCAGGTGTGTTCAGGGTGGTATGGCCGTGGACTAATTTTTGTATTTTTTTGTAGAGATGAGGTCTCACTATGTTGCTGAGGCTGATCTCAAACTCCTGGGCTCAAGCGATTCTCCTGCCTTGGCCTCCCAAAGTGCTGGGATTATAAACTCGAGCCACCATGCCTGACCTTCTTTGTGGACTCTCGACAGCTAAGAACAGGCATTCTCCTATTTACAGATGGGCCTGTGTTGAGAGTCGCTTGTCTGTCTCCCTTGGGAGATTAGAACACATTTTCTAGAGACCAGCCTACAAAAAATCTCTACAAAAAATCAAAAAACTTAGCAGGACATGGTGGCATGTGCTTGTAGCTCCAGTTATGCAGGAGGCTGAGGCGGAAGGACTGCCTGAGCCCAGGAAGTCAAGGGTTCAGTGAGCTGTGAGTGTGTCACCGCACTCCAGCCTGGGCGACAGAGTGAGATCCCAACTCAAAAAAAATGTAAGGATGGGAATAAGCAGGTGAGGCACCGCTCTGGACGTCACAGCGAGCATGCTGCCCCTTGTGCTGCCAGGCACGGTCCTGGCTCAGGCTTTTCTCTCGGTCATCCCTGCTTCCCTCCAGCTCGTTCTTCCCGTCTTCACTCTAACAACTCAGACCCTCCACAGTACTGGGAAGTCTGCTCCAATTTCTTCTGCATTTTATGATGAAATATATGGCTTTCTTGATAAAAAAAAAAAAGCATTGCAAATTAATTTTATAAAACTTTAGAATATACAAAAGGAAGAAAACAAAAGCTACCAGTTTTCCTGGCTATTTCACCATTCAAAGATAACTTTTATTAATATGCTGACATATTTCCAGGAAACTACAGTGTATGTGGTTTTCTTTTTTGTTGTTGTTGAAAAGATGGGGGTCTCACTATGTTGTCTAGGCTGGTCTCAAACTCCTGCTCTTACGAGACTCTCCTGCTTCAGCCTCTCAAAGTTTTGAAATTACAGGCATGAGCCACCATGCCTGGCCCAAGTGTATGTGGTTTTATACCTGCCTTTTAAACTTAATATTATGTCATCAATATTTTACTGCTACTAAAACTTCTTCGCTGGGCTCGGTGGCTCTGCCTGTAATCCCAGCGCTTTGGGAGGCCGAGGTGAGTGGATTGCCTGAGCCTGTGGGTCCGAGACCCTCCTGGGCAACTTGGTGAGACCTCATCTCTACAGTAAATCAAAAATGAGCCGGGTGTGGTAGTGCATGCCTGTAGTTCCAGCTACTTGGAAGGCTGAGGCGGGAGGATCGCCGGAGCCCAGCAGGTTGAGACTGCGGTGGCTGGGAGTGGTCACTGCACTCCAGTCTGGGTGACAGAGTGAAACTCCAACTCAAAAAAAAAAACCAAAACTTCTTCAAATATATGATTGCTGATGACTGCATAATATGATGTTTACTCTTTTATTTTACAGTTTCACTATTAATAAGCATCCGGATATTAAACATTTTTCATGAATGGCAGCTCAAGGGACATCTTTGTATATGTAATGATCTTGTATCTCTGATTACTTCTTTAGGATAGATTACTTCAAGAGCAATTGTTTGTGTAAGAAACATAAGTGATTTTAAGGTTTTGGGACAGAAAAACATAATTGTCATGAATATATGGGCTTTGGGGTCAGGGATTTTGGTTTGAATCCTGGTTCCAGGATTCTGTCTCATTCTGTTACCCAGGTTGGAATGTAAACCTTGAACTCCTGGGTTCCAGGGATCCTCCCACCTCAGCCTCCTGAGTAGGTAGGACTACAGGCATGCACCACCAGGTGTGGCTAATTTTTCTATTTTTTGTAGCGATGTGGTCTTGCTATGTTGCCCAAGGCTGGTCTTGAACTCCTTGGTCTCAAACTGCTGAGATTACAGGCATGAACCACCATGCTTGGCCCATGTTATTTATGTTTTTACTTTTGAGTTAGAGTCTCTCACTCTGTTGCCCAGGCTGGAGTGCAGTGGCACATTCACAGTCACCGCAACCTTAGCCTGCTGGGCTCAGGTGATCGGTCTGCCTCAGTCTTCCAAGTAACTGGAACTACAGACACGCACCAGCATGCTTTGCTAATTTTTTGATTTATTGTAGAGATGAGGTCTTGCCAAGTCGCCCAGGCTAGTCTTGAACCCGTGGGCTCAGGCAATCCTCTCACCTTGGCCCCCAAAGTGCTGTAATTATAGGTGTGAGTCATGTTATTTATTTTTAAGCCTCAGTTTTTCTGTCTATAAAATGGAGATAATGGTAGAATGTCAATTACTAATATGGTCATCTTCAGAAAGGCTTGTTTCTGGAAATGGCATAGGTGAGTACTTGTGCAACTGAACCTCTTTCAGTATTGATCATTATTCTAAAACAAAACAAACTTTGCCAACTTAATAATAAACAAAATGGTAAATTTTTTTTTGAGTCAAGATCTCACTTTGCTGCCCAGGCTGAAGTGCAGTGGCATGATCATGGTTCACTGCAGTCTTGACCTCCTGAGCTCAGGCAATCCTTCCACCTCAGCCTCCCGAGTAAGTCAGACTATAGTCTTGCACCACCATACCTGGAGACTTTTTTGTTTTTTTTTAGAGGCAAGGTCTTGCTGTGTTGCCCAGGGTAGACTCGAACTCCAGGGCTCAAGCAATCCTCCCGCCTAACCATGGGATTATAGGCATGAGCCATCGCACCTGGCAAAAATGGTATCTAAAAGTTTGAATTTCACTTTTAATCACTAGTGAGGTTTTAATGTTTTTTGAGTGTTGATCCTCATATTTATTTTGTGTAAATTGTTCTGTGTTTTTTGCTCATTTTTTTCCTAGGGGAGTCAATGTTCTTGTTGACGTGGAAGAGGGTATGCACCTTTTTTGCATTCTTCTAGGCCTCTGCAGGGGAAGTCCCTGGCCCCTGGGTCGCAGGGTTGGTCTCTTCTGAGGAAGGGCTGGTCCGACAAGGAGGTGAATGTGGATTCCTTTCTCACTCAAACCCCACTCTCTTTCCTTTCCTTGTCCTTGTCCTTCTCCTGCACTAACTCACCTGCCACCACTCTGCCCAAGGACCTAGGGTAAGTTGAGAAAATGGGAGGTCAAGGCCAGGGGCCACCAGGGACCCTCCCAGCAGCAGGCCATGCCAGGGTGGGTCTGCAGGCAGCTGTAGATCGGTGTGGTAAGCCAGTGCCTGTTTAGCCTTTGGTTCCAAAGAAGGGTGAACAAATAAGGGAATGGTGCTCGCTTTCCATAATGTTGTCCTGACTGACCTTTCGGCTGGATCCAAGCATACTAGTAAACAAGAGTGTGCTTGCTTGGGTTTTATAAGTCTATCACTTCTGGCCATGGGAAGCCTTGGGTTAAAAGAAAAAACAGGTTTGAGGCTACAGCTAAACCAACAAGTAAAATTAGGCTAACAGTGTGCTGGGCATTTTCATTGTCTAGTTCATACAGTTCTTAAAGGAGCCTGTGGAACTCCTTTAAGGTAGGGGTCATCCTCATTCAGCGTGAGGCTTAGGTGACCTGTCCTGATCCCACTGCCTGTTGTCACACCCTTTTCTGTAAGCATGTGTTTTCTGACCTAAGTTCTGCCTCCAGACGGTTCACATGCACCCAATTCTCCCGCTAACACCGTCTCTCCCCATAGACATTCTCATTGCGAAGAAGGAAGGGGTGCAGTGGGAGATGCATTCCCCAGGAGATGCCTAGTGAACCCTTGAGGTGGGGTAGAGTTTGGAAACCCTTTCATGGAGATTCTGATTTGCTCTTGTTGCTGAGGTGGAGGTAGCACCCTTCTTTCCAAACTTATCCCCCTATTCTGCTTTATACCATGTTGTCTGAAATATGTTACTTTTCAGTCTTTTCCAAAGGTTCCTCTTATCCTTTCATCATGGCTACAGTATCT